TAATCGCTCTATTTTCATGTAGTCAATTTTGTGCACTTTTGGGAGAAACGGATCACTGAAGTTTTCTTAAGTCTCCTCAAAACTCGCTCACTGATTGGTCAATGCCAACCAATCAGATCGACTGCACATGAAGAGTAAATTTTACCGCGCAGACATCTGGAACCTATAGTCACATATATAAGCAAGAATTTTTCTTAGAAAATTAGTGAGAATTCAGCTGCCAAACGAATCCACAACAGTTGAAACCATGCGCCAACCTTCTCACTCACACACACCACTCACATGCTGAACATTCCTTATAAACTCCCATAATCTTTTCTTACACATCAAAATCTTTTGAGAACAGTCATTATAAGAAACTCTCATAAACATTCTTCCAGTTAACTTTGAAATACTAAAAATACAGATAAAGAGAGACAACTCTTGTTTTATTTAACCTTTTCTTATTTAAATGCATGCTTTCTTTCACATCGTTGTTTGATATTGTACATCTTGTTAAATACATATTTTATGTGTAACGATGTCTTATGCTTATCTTTTTCCACGTCAGTCTTGTTTCCTAATCTAAAATCAAATTAATGTGGTGAAGTCCGCCACAGGCTCATTCATATTTCATGATGTAATTCATGATGGCAGAAGCAGAATGATTTCAGAAATCTATGGAAACATTTTTTTTCTGTAAGATTACAGAGAAATGCATCCAAAGTACAGGGGAGGAATTTTAGCTTGCTGCAGGATAATGACCCAAACATACTACCAAAACAACAAAGGACTTCATCAGGGATAAAAAGGGGAATGTTAAACTGGTCAAGTCAATCACCAGACCTTAATCCAATAGGGCATGTGTTTCATCTCCTGCAGAGGAGACTGAATGAAAAAAAAAAAAAACACCCGAAACAAACAAGAACTGGAAGAGGCTGTGTTAATAATTCTAGAAAAGCATCACATATGAAAAATACAACAATGTGTTGCGGGCATGATGCGGTCATTGCAAGCAACCGTTATACAGCCAAATATCAAATGTTATTTCCTTTAAGACTATCTGTTCCTTCCTTTTTTCACCTAAATATGAGGTGATCTGATGCAAAAGTTGGTGCATGCTAAGCTGTTAAACATATATATATATATATATATATATATATATATATATATATATATATATATATAAATACCAGAAAATAAAAGCTGCATTTCGAACTCTTGTCTCATATTAATCTTTTGATCTTAAACCTAAATGTTTTCAGTGAACAATATACTCTTATGTCCATCGTCTTTTGTGTTAAATCTTTATATGTTCTAATGTTAATTATGTTTAAATGAAAATGTCCATGAAGATGGTCTTAAATAGACCAGAAACGTCCGACGTCGACTTTATATTAACATTAATACAGCATAATTGCATATTAAGATTTTTTGTTGTTTTTTCTGTATTTTCTTCATACTGCCGGATCTATATCCATATATTTGCTTTACATATATACATATATATATATATGAAAAATTTCTCAGGGTTAACCTGTAGAAAAGACAAAATTTATAAATTTAAAAGACAATAGGAAAACTGTAATAGTTGCCGACGCGTTTCGTCCAGTGTGGACTTTCTCAAGGCAAAAGCGAAATTAATTTATTAAACAAAGTAATTAATAATAATAAAACAACTAAGGACATTTTGTTTTGTTATTATTAGTTACTTTGTTTTTATTAAATTCATTTCGTTTTTGCATTGAGAAAGTACATATTAGACAAAACGCGTCGGCGAATGATCTGTCTTTTAATTAAACAAATGGTGAAGAAAATATGCATTCTCCGACAGGAATCGAACCTGTATTCCCATCCGAAACCGTCACTTGATCTATCGTGCTATGGCATTTAACTGCAGGGAAGCATCTGATTAGCAAAAGTCCAAATTATATATATATATATATATATATATATATATATATATATATATATATATATATATATATATATATATATATATATATATATATATATATATATATATATATATATATATATATATATATATATATATATATATATATATGTGCGTGAGCGTGTATGTGTGTATACATACGTATGTATATCTATAATGCCGAAGCCATAGAGAATAAATGCATTTATTTAACACTGTGGGTCAGCCGACTTGGTTTTGGAAAAACGCTTGTTAGTGGGCACTTTTAATTCTTTAGAAAAGCAAGCGTATTCTCTCCTCCATTTTTACAACTACAGAAGAATTCAAAATTGATCACTGCATTTAAGTAATGTATTAATATTTAAGTTTACCTTTTAAAATTTCAACGATATTTCTTCTGACATCACTTAATTTAAAGACGAATTGAAATACCTAGGTCCTTAATTAGTGTACAAACAATTATTTTTATTTCATGGGTAACTTTTACTGGATTTCGCAGTTAATTTCGATTATTCCAAAGTTATAAGAAGTATTATCGTACAAAAAAATATTCGTCGCGAAAATCATGTAAAAAATCGCCGAAAACAATCGCAGGAATGAAAAATTGGAGATCCAAAATTTCGGGATTGCGGGTCTGGATCTGGCCCATACTGTCTTTGATTTGCTCACGGAATTGTCCTGATTCTAAAAATGGTATTCTATGTTGGGCTACAGCCTCTAGGAGTAAAGTTCAAAAAGTGTGTCACACTGACAAACTGACATTCGAATTTATTTATATAGACACAGCGTCAATAAACTGCTGAATCCCAGCGGTTGTGACATTTTTATCGCCATTTTTTTAATCCAAGCAGTGGTCTGATTTTTTTTACCCACAAATCATAGAATCCCTGTACATGACAGACAGTTTGTCACTTTGCTTGTCAATTCCTTTAATTCGATATTTCCACAGCAATCTTCTATAACAAACGTTATGAAATGGAAGTTTCACCTGATAAATTAATAATTACGTGTAAGGATAAGAACTTATTGATCCAACCATCGCACATGAGCAGGAGTCAATGTTGTCGTTACCACTATATTTCTCAGTCTATTCTGTACTTCAGTATATTTTAATTGTGCCATTGTCTTTCTTATCAAGCAGAAAGGCGATTCGATGTTGGCTAATGGTTAACAAGCAAATCTGGTTGACAATCTATGTGTTTCCTCTTGACTGCGCTCTTCCTATGGCTTTGTCATAACACTAAATTAGGTACCTCCGCAGATTCGCTAAAAGTGAACATTCACAATTAAAAAATACACTAAACTTAATAAAAACAATGTTTTATCTTCAAAATAATTTGTTATTATGAACAGTAAAGAGCAAAGGAGTATTTAAATATATTTTCAGATCCTTTTTAGATCGTTCGAAATGCTGGTTAACAATGTGGTTTTTCGTGAGTCAACGATTATTACAGAAAATTTTAGCATCTTTTTTTTTTTGCGGTGGAAAACACGTTAGGAAATTCTTGCAAAAATCAAACAATAGACAGATTTTAATAAAACTTTCCGGACTTATTCACAAATGAGTGAAATTATTTTAGAAATCTTTCTTAGAAAATATTTATAAAAACATTTTTTCCATCTCTTACACCCGGCTCCAGCTTATTTAATATTATGAAATTTCGAGAAATTAATTTTTGTACCATTTAATGATTATGTTAGTTATAAGAAAAACTCCTTGGAGAATTTAAATCATATTTTTTCTGTAAAACAGGACTCACAGTTACAGAAAATTTGCTCTGAATCGTAAAATAAAAAATACAAAAAAAACTAAGACATTATTTAATTAGAAAATGTATTAATTGCTTTTATAAATAATATATATTATGAACATTATTGTCGTAAGAAAAACAATTTCAATGAATAATTCATTTTTTCAAGAATTGTTTTCATATTTAAAAAAAATCATTAGAATAATTGATAAGTTTTAACTTTTAAATTTCTGTATTAAATTATATCGGTTGTGATTTTGTTATTAATTAATTTTTGTACCATTTAATGATTATGTTAGTTATAAGAAAAACTTATTATAGTTAAAAACTATATCTACTAATCATGAATGGAAAAGGTCAATACAATTCAACAAGCCCGCATATTATAAAAAGTATTTTAATTTTTTTTGTTTTTGCCGATTTATGTAAATACGGATGTCCATACACGATATTTTCAGGAAATAAGAGCGATACCTATAATAAATTAATGCGAAAGCACTTAAAATTCAATAAAATATTAGATTACAGAGAATATTTTCCTAAATTCTTAAGACTATTGGGTAGTTAAAATTTATATAAAAAAGGCGCTCATGTTATATACTTCAAGTAATTTTTACAGATATATCCACCGTAGAAAAAATTAGATAAGTCAAGCTGTCAACACCTTACAAAAACACCTAACTCCGTGTTAAAAAAATGATTTTTAAACTAAATGTAAATGATATTTGTTTCGAATAAGAATAATTAAACGTTAATCACCTAATATTCCTAACATAAAGTTTCAGAAAAGTATATTTTACTTTTGAATTTTTTTTAATAAAGAGAATCGCTTAGTGGTGACAGATGGTTAAAAATGGTGCTCAAATCAGCTAATTTTAGCTATTTCAACAAAACAACTACTTCCTCCAAATTTAAATTAATATTTTGCTTATTGGAAATTAAACTACAATAAAAACTTCGAGAAAGATTTTCCATTTTGAGGTACCAATATAAAACTATTAAGAAACGTAAGACATTGACTAACAGTAACAAAAAATATACGGAACGAGAATGAATAGACAGTTATCTGGAGACGTATTGAGAGAGAGAGAGAGAGAGAGGGGGGAAGCGAGGTTGGGAGGGAGTGAGGAAAGGGAGAGTGAAAGAAAGAAAAAAGGAGGAGGTTAGTGGGTGGCGATTTGAGATACAAAAGGTGTGTTCACATTCCGTCACAGGTTCGGCTCAATCAAACACACACACGCCTGTCGAACCTTGCAGATTTTGAGAAGGGAACACGCACACTACGGCGTGAACTGCTTCTTCTTGCTCTTCTTCTTGTTCGTCTTCTTCCCCAG